CTTTCCAGTCTCTGAAAATGTAAGCAATAAATTTTGTTTTCTTTATAAAATGCCCAGTTCTGTGTATTTTGTTATAAGCAACAGAAACGAACTAATACACTCAATCAATACACGTTTCCCCTAATTCTGAACATTTTTATTAAAAAAAAAAAAAAAGCCATGGCTCTTCTGATATGGTGACAAAAATGTCATATAGATAGGGGTAACCACTGGTCATTTCAAATTTTACTTTTTAATAAGTGAGAAATGGCCTGTGTCAAAGAAATATGTTAAGAAAATGCTAAGAAAAGCAAGGGGAGTCCAATCAAGATGGCAGAACAGGCAGTACCCAGTGCCACCCTTTCCCACAATCAAACAATTTAAAACTATTAAAAAGCAATGACTGCCAACCTGAGCCCACTAGAGCTCAGGGGAAGAGGAAGAGAGACCTAAGGAGTTCATGAAGGCAGGAGAAGTCATGATGAGAGAAAGAAAGGGGGCCACTCTGTTTTGATCCCTGTTCACTTCAAGTCTGGCCTTGCTGAGTGCACAGAGCAAGAGCTGGCAAAAGCCACAGCTGTGCCCTTCCTATGAAGTTGCTTGGAGACTGCAGGGCAGAAGAGGGCCTTGGTGGACCTCAACCAGCAAGACCCCTAAAAGGGTTCCTGTGGACCCACATAGGGCAAGGAGCCACAGACAACTGAAAAAAGGAGCCACTCAGAGGCTGCTAAATCACTGCAAGGGACTGGTGCATGGCCCATCCCATGGGAAGTGTTTGAGTGTGGGGATGGGGGAGACTGGCCCATCCAGTGAACATCGGGCACAGCATGGACAGCTGATCTGCCCTTCAATCAGCACAGGATCACTCAGTGGAGATGGTCAGGAATACAGAACTGCAGGGGGTGCAGTTTGCTGAAAAGACTCATGTCCAGACCAGAGTTTCCACACATCCCAGGTGTACTAGACCTCACAAGACCCAGAAGTGCATGCAAGGTCAACAATTAAAACCTGAGCTGCACAAAAAGCCTTCCCCAGAGAATGAGCAGCAAAGCAGCAAGTTAGCTCAACTACATGGCTCAAGTGCTGGTCTCCACAGGAAATTCCCCCATTTTAGAAGTAACCAAAGGACAACAAATTAGTTCCAGTGCAGAGTTTACATGGTGGGAATAGCGAATAATCCAACACAGAACTGAAAGAAAGTACAAAAAACCCACAAATCAGAGGCAAAATTCGGATATTAACCAGTAAAGGTCTAACACCATCAAAGAACACTTATAGGGCCGGCCCGGTGGCGCACTGCTACAGTGTGCCACTTGGGAGTGCAGCAGCGCTCCCGCCGAGGGTTCGGATCCCACATACAGACCGGTTCTTTTATTTCAGAATGTTTTGGTTTACTCCCGCTCACTGGCTGAGCGAGGTGCGGGCGCAACACCGAGGGTTGCGATCCTGTTGCCGGACACGAAAAAAGACAAAAAAAAGGAAAAAAAAAAAAAAAAAAAAAGAACACTTATAAAACCTAGAAGGATTGGAAGAAACCTGGGCTTTCAAGCTGTGGCGGGGGAAGACCGAGGGCCTCAGCCACACCCCCCTGATGTCTGCATCCAGCTCAGTGATGACCACAGCCTGCCACTATAAGTACCCCAGGTCTGTAAGCTGAGGTGGTAGGGGGCCGAGTGCCTTAGCCACACCCCTCCAACATCTGCATCCAGCCCAGTGACTACCCAGCCACCACTGGAAGTGCCCTGGGCTCCCAGAGTTGGGGGAGAGGGGCTGAGGGCCTCAGCCATGGCCCCCTCCCCAAGCCCGCATCCAGCCCAGTCGTGGCTGAGCCACGACTGGAAGCCCCTTAGACTCCCCTGCCAGAATGAGGGGGTGCCACGGGCCTTGACCACAACCCCCTCCCTCCTTCCTTCTCTCGCCCTATCTCCCTCTCCTTTCCCCTCTCCCCACCCCCAACTGCTCTGCAACATGTCAGAAAGTAAAAAAATAATAATAAATAAATTTAAAAAAAAATCAAAAGGATTTCAGGTCATAAAGAAGAATTTGTTTTTATATTTTATAAACGCTAAATAAAGCAAACTTTTGTGTTAGCACAATAAAATATTTAACAGTGGAACAATTTAGACATTCTTTACATATATCATTAGGGGACATATACCATGTGACTCTAAAGCAATAAGTTCAAAAAGAAAACATTCTAAAAATGAAAGTCTAATTCTTAAATGCTGAGTTATATGTTATAAGGAATACTTCACTTAGGGAATTTTACTATTGGGATTTACTTCTAACAGTGACATGTTAAGAAAACATATGATTCTCCTTAAAAATAAATTAAGCTACATGTGGTTATGGAATAGCCAGTCTATTCAGCAAAAGGCAGACATTACCTTAGGAACTGGTGATCACCCTTTGTCTCACATAACAAAATCATCTTGTCCATAGTTGATAAATAAGAGTGGTGCTAGGCTAAACTGTAAAGTACTGTACATTGATCACTAATGTGCCCAAACTTCCTACAGTTGCGCCTTTCCACCTTTCATAGTCCAAGAGGCTGAGGGTAAAATGATTCAGGGCAATACAGTGAACCAGTAAAAAAAGTGGATTAAGTACTAGGGCACTTCAAAAAGTTCATGAAAACATAGAATTGAAAGATAATATGAATCTTTCTATGAACTATTTGAAGTGCCCTTGTACTTAGTAGTAGCTTCCAAGAGAGACGGAGAATGGGAGGCATTGACAATAATTCCGATAAGAAATAATAAGGCTAAGATGTGTTGCCAAGCACATAGGAAATAATACAATCTGGAATGCATCTGAAGGGAAAGTTTGGAAAGTAATCAGCCTTTTAATTAAATAAAGCAAATTAGGATTTTTTACTCTTCTTTCTTAACATTACATGGTTTTTATAATAAAATGTAAATCACTTATTCAAATAAAGAATCTGAAAAATGAAACCTTTAAATAAAGAAACCTACTTTATATAAAGTAATAGAGAAAATCTAAAGATGGGGAAAAAAATCTCTTGTACTCAAAAAACTTGTCAAGAAGAAGAAAAACACAAATAAATAATATCTACATAAAATATCATCAATAAACATTATAGAAAAGAAGTGTGGAGGAAGTTCAGAGAAAGAAAAGATCTCATTTTTTTTCTGAATACTAGTAAGTAAACACTTAATATTTGGATCTGAATAACTGATTAACTGTCTCTTTTCTTAATTTGTCCTTTAAAATCCTTCTTATTACTAACTGAGTAGTTAGTAAAATATTATACCTCAGATCTGCCTTAAAATATTCCAGTGAAAATAAATAAAATCATCACAAATGGAGTACATGAAACAAGAATGGGAGGATGTTGACTACTGAAGGGTTAAGGAGACTTTGATAAACTAATATATATGTGATTCCCATAATAAAAAGCAAAAAAACAAATCCTTTTTGAAAAGAAACCAATTAATGATGAGTCGAAAGCAGAATAATAGAAAAACCACAGAATCATAAAAACCATTTAAAAATGTCCTATATGTAAAACTAAGGACTAAAAGAAATGAAATGTGAAATCAAGCTAACATTTCATTACCCCAAAACATAAATTGTACTTAAAATATTTTACTTATTCTGATTTACACAGGACTTTAGACTATTAAGCTTTTTAGTTTATTAATATTCTTCGATTTATGCTAAAACAAATGATATTCATTATGTAGCAGTTCATTATTCTAAACAGGTTAAGTTCATTCTTTCAATTAATGTATTTTCACAAACCTGATGGTATTTAAAGAAAATTCAAAATGTCAGTAAAGTCCAAATTAAAAAAAAAAAAAAGGGACGGCCCGGTGGCGCACTGGATAGTGTGCCGCTTGGGAAGCGCGGTGGCGCTCCCGCCCGAG